CATATATATATATATATATATATATATATATATATATATATATATAAACGGTTTTGAGAAAAAGAAAAAGGGAAAAATTAAACGCTTCTTCAACAACAGTTTCTTGATTGAGTTTCTCAGGACAATCGTAATTAGGGAAGGAAATAATATTTATTTGTATATCTTTAATAAAATTTTTAATTTAAGATCGACAAAGCTACTGTAATACAAAAGGCAGAATTGTATTACAATGCAAAAGGTAGAATTGCGCGCATAGCTGTGACGAAATTGTAGAGATCGCAATATCGCTGGAATTTTTCCAAATATAGCTGTGCAGTCCAAATACGATTAATCGATCCATATTGTGAGGTGCTATTTATAATGGATTTACAATAAGGTACTATTAAAAATTAAGAATTTTATGTTAACTTATAATACAATATATTAATTTTACGATTTATTATACGTGGATATGTACATTATCCGCGACGTGAAAACATAACATTCAATTGTTATTTAAAACAATATCGTTCGTACTCGATCATCCATACAAGTAACGACTGTTGAAAAAGAATACAGCTTCGCTGTTATACGTTCGATATCATTACGTAAATCAGTATATTCATCCACGAAGCATTTGTATATAATTAATAAATCGCGAATTTAATATCTACTGCATTATAAGCCAATTATGCAGATATTTATATCAGATGATTAAAACGATCGAGAATGTCTGTGCTCTTCAATTGTATTCGGGCTCACCAGGCCCACTTGATGATCATCAGGCAAATTTATTCAGAGCTAGCTGTTTTTCATATCGACTTTAGTATCTCGCTGGTAATTAATACATTTAGATAGACGGCAGATGCGCTCCCTCGGGGTGGAATCCATTCTCGTCGGCGACGTAGTTGACGGTGTACCTGACGTTGGTCTCCGGGTCGACGTAGGTGTAGCTACCGCGGACTACGAGAGCCTCGTTTTCATGACCAGGGTTTTGCAATTGGGCTGACTCTTGATGGGCCTGACCGTTGGAGAGCTCATAGCCAAACTGGTATCCATCAACACCAATGTTGTCCAATGGTGTCTCTTTCACGAGGACCGTCTCATCGTGAGGGGGTGCTGCGATAGCGACGGCCACGAGGGCGCAGAGGGCGATGATCTGCAGGAAGGGAACGTCAATTAATCGGTTTGTCACTTGGTTTAGTTTTCGTTTTTCACAATTGTTGATAAAAGTGATCGAAGTTATTAATAACTGATAGTGCGAGCGGTGTAATAGCATTCCGATGTATCCATTTTGATGCTATGACTCACAATCTTCGAATTAATTAGCGATAAATTTTATACGCTCGTCGAAAAAACAAGAGTTGACTCATTGTAAATTATAATTCGGGAGAATCTTGTATATACCCACTGTTTTCATGTTGAATGTGGAGGCGGCGTACAGCTACTCTCGTTTGAAGAAGAAGACTGATGTGGATAGTCGAAATCAGCAGGGATTTTATAGTGTTCCTCCTACTGCCAAAATTTGACTGGATGTACACCAATTCACCTTTCACCTTTCTTCTTCGTATTTTGATAGTTAAGACATCTGCCGATCGTCCAAATTTCGACCTTCATAAGAATTTTTCGCGAACGACACTCAACGATCTGAACCTTCACTCATTTAAAATCGCACACAGAGAACTCCTAGATAACTATTAGACTAACACGGAGATTTTGCAAATTTTATCGCACTTATTTTATTGAAATAATTTTTTTATTATCAGTAATAAAATTTAATTATTATTTACCAAAAACCTAAATATTGACAAAAATTACATAATTAAAAAACGAATTTTGAATCAAATAGATCTTATTTCAGACATTCTGTATATAATTATATAATTTCAAGAAAAAAAATTTTATATATAATTTTATACAATATATAATTATAGTAAGTTTATATATAATTATATAATAAAAATATATATAATATAAAAATAAATAAAAAATATAATAAAAAACGGGTAATTAAGATCAACGGTAATTGGTGCTAATATCATATATACATATATTTTAATTGTATTTATTGATCTACAACATAATATACAAAACTGAACGTTTCGGCTGTATTCAAGCCATCTTCAGCAGTCCCCAATCATAGTAATGTTCACAATCTAATGTTCATGACGTAGTAGAAATCGAGTGCAGCAAGTAAGTCTGTGAAATTTACTTGCTGCACTTGATTTCTACTACATCATGAACATTAGATTTAACCGCGTATTAAGGCTCTTAATTGCCGCTT